GACACACCGCGACAACAAGATGAGATCAAATCGTGAAAATCATGAAATTCAGAAAGCAATGGACCAAGAACCACATTCGCCAAAGTTGGATCGAGATAGGCCTAAAAGCGGGCCGCCCGGCCTCCTACATGGGCCGCCCAGCCCACCATAGCACCGCCTCGCCTCGTGCTTCATCCACGGTCAGGTTTGAGTCCAATACACTCTATTTTTATATGTTTCACTTTCCGTTTAGAACCAAAATAAGAATCCATTGATAAACAATTTTAAAACCTGAGGAAAGATTATTTCAGTCATGATTAAAGGATAGACTCACATAATACTTTTCCTAGAAGCTATACTACTGATGGAAACTTATTATTAAAGACCTCATATTGCTTAAGTTGTTGTGGAATGAGATATAATAGAATAATGAGAACTTGATTCTTGATGTCTCGTTATTGGAGAATTTTATTTCAAAAATAAAAATGAATAGCTGCACCTCTCCTTTGTAGTAAGTAATGTCCTACCAGAGCCAAATATAGACCAGACAAACCTTCTACATACACTACTTGTTATTATATTGAGTTTGGTCAAACCTAGTGACCCTTGTTGAGAAACTTATCTTGCTCTCAAGATCAAGATCACGTACACTCCACATATATCTGCTGCACCTACACTGGAAGTATGCAAAAACATGTTTTCTATCCACCCAAAAATGTTCTACTCCTACATTGGGAATAGACACAAAAATATGTTTGATAGGATAATTGCTCTAAGTTCTTGTAAATGTCTTTCTTGAAAATTTTCAAATGCAGAAAAAGAGGCATGTGGCTATGCAAAAGTTATTCAAAGAAAAAGTATTGGAAAAAATAGATAAGTGTCCGAGATATCTAAAACAATGAGTACTCAGATGCCCGCCTAAAAAAGAGAAGAGATGAATAAGATAGCCCATGTTTTCTTTTAAAATGTTTTTCAAGTTTTAATCAAGAGAGATATGTTTCAAGGAGCATAGTAGAATTAGCTTAGCCACCATATATATATATATATATATATATATATATATATATATATATATATATATACACATATGCACATCTTAATCTAAGAGTATGGCATCTCTTCTCCTTGGATCCTTGTTTTGACTTTACAATATATGCAATGCAAGTATGTTTTTACATTCATCCCTATCTGAGCTCTACATAAGCTTTTAGAAGTAGGTAAAAAGAAGGCAAAATCATCACTGCCTTGGTGAGGATCCAAAAATACCATATGCAGAGTGATTTGAGAGTACTACAAATGGAGAAGGTAAGCTATGTTTTATTTTCAAAAATCTTAAAATGTTTCTTTGATTAACTTGACTAAAGGAAGATGGTGGTCTATTTTAAACTGTTCCATTCTTTAACCGCTCAAAGTTTTATGGTAGACACTTTGAATCCTACAGTACATGCATGATTGAAAATGATTTTATGTTGATGTCTTGTCCTAAGGTTATGTCTTGAGTAATCCATCCTTTTATCGAGCATGAGTAAAAGCCTAAGTGTGGGGGGAGTTGTTGACGGTAGTTAACATATATTATAAACCATCAATATAACTTGTATAAATGACTAAAATAGATCACCAATGTAGACTTAGGGGTCTAAACTGATAAATTTCCCGAGTTTTGGTGAATCTATGTTTCCAGCAGGATTTAATCAGAAAACCGCCAAAAAGGACCTAATCGTCAAAGGAAATCACAGAATCCCGTCGTGGTACCTACGTGGAAACACTCTAGAAGGGTCCAAAAGGCAAACCACTAAAGCAGGCCAGATGTCACAGACATGTGGGGCCGCCTGGCCCCTGTGGGCCCCACCTGTCAGCCTCCTTCGTATGTCGGTTGTCCACCGCCTTAAGGATTGCATCTCCGCCGTTGCTTAAGTCGATTTGATTCAAGGGCTCACGTTTGATGCTTAGGGCTATATATACCAGCCTGCCCCCTGGAGGCAATGCTCATTTGATCCTGAGAGCTGAGAAGCCAAAAACCCTAATTCCTATGTCCACCAGGATCAGAGCTAACAATTAAGAGAAGATTAGTCCTTAATAGGATCTAGTCTTGTTCTAGAAATAGTGATATAGAGTGTGAGGGAAGAGTTTGGAGGAGTCCGGCCTATCGGTGTTCTCTCTACAGCTTGTACCTGGCGGAATTAAGTTATTCTTGAGCTTGCTTCTGAGATTTCTCTGGTAATCGACTTCTAATTCAAGTAAGCATCTTGTTCATATTGTTCTTTAGGTTTGCGACTCTCTTTTGAGTACTTTAATCCTTATAGCTCCTGGGTTAAAGTAGTATTTGTAGTGTAAGTGTGGTGCTTAGACTCGGTTACTCATAGATGTACCCTATTTTTTGGATCGGTGGTAGCTCGTGGGGGTGACTTTTATAGCCTCGTTGAATCCTCTATAGTCCACCTCCCGTTAGTAGGACTAGCAGGACAGTTTTGCTATAGAAAACATACTCTGCCTGTGTTTTCTTTAGTAATATCCCCATAATTGAACAATAAAGACAAAGCTTACCGAAGTTAGAATTAAAAGACCTTAGCAGTCTCCTCTACGCTCCTATTATCTAGCCTTGATTGTGAAGTTGGGATAAGTTAGATTTGGTTATTCTCACACACATTTCCTCTAGTTCGATATAAAACTGGGTACTCCCGGTGAAGTGCTACATCGGTATAATATCTCTTCGCTTGCGGATTATTTTGTGTGATTAATTTATACCAATAGACGTCAAGGCAAAAATGGTGTGGCAGTAGATACCATCCAGCAAACAACTTGTGTGACCATATAGAAGTGGTAGCGAATGGACCCTGCAGAAAGGTTGTGTCAAAATTTGAGATGGTCCTTCATGGTGACACCTACATATGTAGGTCGTGACATCATCGTCACCAATGCTGCCACCGGCCTGAAAGAACAGGGGCACCCCACATGCTTGTCTCTCTACAACATCTCTTTTTTCCCCAATATCAAATTTCTCCCAAATCTGTCAGTTCGTGGATGGATCCGTGTGCATGGGGGGAGAATCTATGGAAGGGGGCAGTTGCTCAATGCGGCTAGGCAGTTCCTGGCCGCCTTAGGCTGCTACCAACCATGGCGGCGGCTGTACTCAAGGTTACAACCATGTGGCGCAGGGCACAGGTGAAAGTTGGTCCCCCACGTCAACCCCTTCACGTCGCCGCTACGGTCGAAAGCCCCCACCTCAACGAGCTCTCCGATCAAATGTGTGCTCCATGTTGGGCTGCCGCACCATACTTGCTTCGCTCTCGCGCGTGAGGTGGTCGATAGAATGATGCGGGGCGGCGGCATGCACCCCGACTACCACAGCTCTCGAGCGTTGGTCCTCAAGTGCTGCTAGGAGGGGTGGTTTCAAGAGGTCGATGCCCTCCGCAGCCGAGTCGCAGTGCCACAACATCTTCCCAACCATGGATGGTTGGCGGCCAAGCTCGAGATGTGCCCGCTCAACAACCTTGTGGACACCATTTGGAGCACGCTCATGGCCAGGCTCCGCAAGCGCAGCGAGCACCTGCAGACCCACGCGCCCACATACAGGTAGATGCTACCTCGACTTCGGGGAGGGGCGTGCTAATGCCATCATGCATTGGTGTCCTTAGGAGGCATTCAACGAAGACTGTTGTGCGCCGCCAAGGCAAAGGTCCTGGAGTGGTAGATTTGAGTGCTCATCCACAACCTCCCTTGGTGGCATGCCCCACTGCTCTGCTAGCCCGGTCAAGGGCTCAAGCAATGGCAATGTCGTCCCATGCCCACCACACCACAACGTTGTGTCTTGACTTCGCCTGATTTGAGAAGGTGTTCCTAGAGACTATAGACTATAGTCTAGGGGTTTGGGGATCATCCTTAGGCGAAAAACGTGTCTAACCCATCATTGCAGTTGACGATGACGCTCTCAGACGCAGTTACCAAATTTATATAATAAAATAATAATATTTATAATACCAAATAAATATCATTAGATTCTTTATTAATTATATTTTTTATAGCATAGCTATTTGATGTTATAAATCTTTGTAATTTTTTCTATAATTTTGGTCAAACTTGATATATTTTGACTCTCCAAGCAAGTTGGAATGACTTATAATTTGGAATGGATGGAGTAATATTATTTACATAGACTGACTCAAACTTGAGCTAATTTGACTGACACGGATCCCATATTTGCATTCTTTTATGGAAGGAAGGAGTATACTTCCTCCATACCGGAAATTAACGTCGTTTTAGGGGATTGAAGTTTTTGCACAAATGAAGTCGTTTTAGCTCGTGTAACCATCTTTTGGACATGAATGCCCCTTGACTCCTTTTCCTGTGCATGGGCGACCCTTCGGTAGGGGTCCCCTCCGCTCCCCCTTCCATGGAAGAGGGGCGCCAATCCTGTACGAGCACCAACGCGGTCTCCTCCGCTATGCAAAATTCATGGATCCAACAAAAATACCACGCTAACGCTAGCAAGGGATCGAAGCTTGATCCTCTTGCCTCGGGTCTCGCCGTCCTAACCACTCCAGCTATGAATATTTAAGATACCCGTAACCCTATTTAATAAGGGCAGATAGGGAAAAATGCACCTTAATTAATCAATGCTTAGTATGCTAAATCATGTCTAAAACAACCTGAATTACCAGGGACTATGTGGTGGTTTTTTTTAATTCGACATGTCTAACTGATTGGTAGCCTTTGTTTAGCTGTCGGACATCTTTTAGCACAATATTTTCTCTCTCACATATATGTACAGTTCTGGTGCGGTTTTCCCTTAAATGCTAGACCAATCTCTTTTAACGTTGTTAATAAAATCAAAAGGATATGAAGAACTTAATTTTTTTTAGTTTTTGTCCCGTCAAAAACTTAAAACTAATAAATTTGAAACGGTTTCAAATAAAATTAGAAAAGTATATATAATAACATTTTTATAGATATATCTGGATCCGAGCTTGTTTGGTTTGGCTTGACTCACATATTATGCCCCCAATGCAACCAAGATCAGCTGATCAGGCGATGGGTAGCTTTGACTTCAACGCGTGTTGGTTCGGCTCCCGCTGCCCGCCTGCTCCACCCACCCCCCCTGCCGGTGCCGGGTGCCGGCCTGCCGGCTTTCCCCATCCAACTTCTGCCGCAACCACCTCGAACTCCGTGAGCGTGTTGGCCTCCCACGCATGGCCGAGTGGCAGCGGCTCTGCCAACCTGCTCGCCGCCTCCCTCACCCCCTTAGTTGCGGTTCCGCGCGAGCGCCCGAGCGCCCTCGATGCGGGGACAGGGCGGCGGAGCGCGGGTGGCGGGTCGAGTCCGGCCATCTGCAGACTGCTGCAGTCCGGCATGGTCGAGCAGCCGCATCAGCATCTGTAGGAGCCGACCCGCCCCCGCCGCCTCTTCAACTGCTGGAGCCTCATCAAGGTGTGCCGGTGTGGAGCAGGCAGCAGTCTAGGGAGTAGGGAGAGGTGCTGTTCCCGCTCGCTGGCTAAGAGGCGAAGCGGGAGGTCAATGGCTGAATCGTTGACTACCTCGCTGGGGTGGTGCCGTGGTGGTGCCGGGGTGTCGTCCTCACGCTCTGCCTCAAGGTGCAGAAATGCAGATTGCAACAGCCAACAGGGGTCCTGATCCTGAACTCTCTGATGCCTCTTTTACTTGCTAGTGGTACGTGTTTTGTTGACTAATGCGAAATTTGAGGATGCCGAATATGTAGAACATGACTTAGCAAGCTTGGATTATTATGAATTCACCACTTATTAACAAAGTTATTATAGTAAGTAGTAATGAAGCATTCCTTGCAAAAAAAAAAAAAGGTAATGAAGCATTCACAAGGCAAATAGCCTGTAAAATCGTTTCTTGAAATAAGAAACTTGAGTCATGATCCTCCTGTAATGAAAAATAATACATGCTTAAGCTCGGTCACTAAAAAAAGAAACATGTGTCATGATCATGCCTTTTTCATTAGCTCTTCTTTAAACTAGTTATTAAGCATGGATTGCCTTTGTGAAATAAGATTTTTTTTTTGCAACTTGCCAACTTGTTGCCTCGTCCTTCAACTGTGCTTGGACTCAGGGGTCTTTCTTAATTTGTGGAAACTAAAGTGGAGAACATAACAGTGTATTACATTATGACTATTGTGTTTTGCAAAGCTTTTGTTAGTTCTGTACTTATGAAATTGATCACTGTGAGAGAAAAATAATTGATCATTGTATTGTGTTTATTTGCAGTATTGCAAATAATGATGGTGCTTACGAAGTGGGGGCAGGAGACAGGAGGATGAGGCATAATCTTCAGGGTCCATGATGACTTTCATCGTTGCTAGAGAGGGTGAAGGCATGTATGTGGGCGTTGCCTGCTCAGTTGAGTTGCACGCACAAAATCTTGCTCTAGACCTGGGAATTGGCATCTTGAACCCAGACAGATGTCCAGCTACTTGCCCATGCACTGAAGTGGAGAGATCCTAACACCTCGCTGCACGCAGTTGGTCTATAGGATGCAAAATTCCTGATGATAACATGTTTTCAGAATTGTATGATACAACTTTGTAGTCGTCTTTTGTAATTGTCTGACATAGACGCTACAATCTTGTACCATCATATATTGCTGAAATAGTTGCAGGTGAAAACCCTGTACATGTGCACTATTAAAGTCCCGATCATGAGAAAATTGTTTGGCAATTAGAAACTCTGATTTTAGTTGTAATTCTAGCACAAGTTGTCACTACCCAGTTTGCTTGGTTCTCTATGGGCATGAATAAGCATGATGTGATGTTGCCTAGTTCATTATCTTATTGTTGTCCAAGAATGGATGTGCTACGAACATAACTCCTGCTGATTTCTTCTTGGGTCATCTTCTTTTGTTTGTGCATAAAAGTGCCTTATTCCTTCTTATCTCTGTACTTAGAAGTGTGCAATTAATGTGTAAATATTCTGGAGCCCCCCCACCCCCTTTTTTTTTGAAATTGCCTTCCTGCTCTATGATGGGAAAGGCAAAATGGCATCTACCGGTGTCAGATTTGCAACAAAAAAATCTCTCTTAAAAAGTACAATAGGCTGATTAGCCACAGGCCTGAACAGCAAGAACATTTCTAGGATGCATAATCACACTATTGAGCCACAACACAACTATCATTAGCTGCCAACTCCATGTTTTCGTCCTACATGAAAGATAAATTCACGAATTGAAATAAATTATTGAATGCAGCGCTTGAGGGCCACATGTACAAGCCACATGTTGCCCAGAAAAGACAAAACTATATGAAAAGAGCAAAAAAGATAAGTCTCGATGATAATTCAAAAGCCTCCTCACTCAGATCAACCATCTTTTCATGTGTCATCATCCACGTCCACTACTATAAGATTTACTACGCAGATAAAAAACGACCAGCACTTGAAGCACTCATGGAATGCAGTTAAACTGCAACAATAGTCACAAAACCAGCTGCACTCATCTGTATTTGCTAGTAGTGCTTGATAACTTAAAAAAAAAAACTGGAATGCAGTCAATTTGCAACAAACATTACAACTTACCACTAATTTGCAATGTACAAGTTGCAGTAAGACGTGTATAGACAGAGATCTTCAAGGTAAGATTTATGAAGTTTTCCAAAAAGGCTCTACTAGCTCAAATCAAATCCTAATTCACAAAAGGGAATGCTTGAAATTACAACTATATTCACTCTAAATAAACACTTAAAAAGTAAAAACAAAACAAGAAGCAAAAACCAGATATATATTCTGTGCAGTTAATGTCACAGCGTAATATGTTTTTCAAATGCCCAATCAAAATGTCTGTACATATTCTGCTTTTCATTCATAATAGTACTGACCATAAGCCAGTTCAGAGTTCAGACTATAAGCATGAATCAAAGCTTTCTTTTATGGAGGAGCCCAAATCAACTATTGCACTTGCCATTAACCGGACCTGGGTAAATTGCTAAAATCCAACAGACAGGTTTTGCGGTAGACAAACTTTTTCAGTCTTGAGTCTTGACAAACTTCACCATCTACCTACAGCTACAGGTTTTTGGCTCAACAAAACAACCAGTAGACGAAGCAACTCATGTCAAACACAATCGCAAGAAATTAGCAAACAATGCTGCGAACAGATACTAAGAATCATTTTCACATTGAGGCACTAAGCAATTGAACAGAGTACCAGAGCAATGAACCAAGGATCTATTTGCTTCAGTCAGAACATTGTAACTGGTCCAAGAACTAACAAATCATCGTTTCTTGGCATCAAGAAATTATGTTCGTCACAGCTGAACACAAATCTGAACAAAAGAGCAGGAACGCAGAGCTCGATCAGTTTCAAGAAAGTGAATGCCAGAAACAACGAAGGAATCTTTCAAGAACTAATCCAGACCATCAGACAACACGCACCACCAGATTACCCTCGATCAGTTCCAAGAATGCAGAGACAGAAATGACGAAAGAATCCTTCAAAAACCTCTCCAAGAACTGATCCAGTTCCAGACCGCCCCAGAGGAGGCGTCAACACCGTCCTCCAAATCCGGCATCGACGTCCGCGGCAACAGCGGTGGCGCCGACGCTGATGACGATGCCTCCGGTAGTGCTTCGTGTTAGATGATCTCCAACCCCGGCTAATTGGGCCCTTGATCCGCGTCCTGATTGGGGCGTCCAACCGGTGGGCCTCTGTCGCACAGCGTCATAAACACGAAGGTGAGCGCCGAGTAGAAGGCACGAGGTTCACCTGAGCCGTCAAACGCCCCACCGATAGTCCCTAAACTCTAACCGATCTAAGAGGGGGTGCTGTCAGCGACGGGAAGACCGTCACCGGACACCGCCGCCTCTACACCGCCGTCACCGCGACAGCACCTTCACCGTCGGTCTTCTCCGCGCCACCGTCAAGCAACCCCATGGCCAGCTCGTCTTCTACGAAGGCGGCCGATGGTTTGCACCTCCTCAACTTCTCTCTCAATGTGTTAATTACGTACTCCTAGATGTTCTAGGACTCGCTATTTATCCCAAATGTCAGTTTTGTATGCTAGATCTATGTCTAGTGATCCTGTAATATTTTATCAATGGTATCAGTCGTCTAACTAGGCGTAGATCTAGCCTATCGGAGTAGAAAACCAAGTAGCAACATTTAGAAGGAGGTGATAGATCCGTTTCGGATCTAAGCAGAGGGTTCATCGAACTCTAAATCCAAATCGGGTGAAGAAAAGGAGTAAGAAAGGGTCTCGATTTTGAAAAGGAACTCGAACTCGAACCCTAACCCGCGTGGAAAGCTCGGGGAAGAAGAACACTACTCAAACCTTAACCCTAACTCGACCTAACCCGACAAGATCCGAGAAGAAAAGAGCGAGATCCAAATCAGAGAGAAGAAGGGGAAAGAGGAAGGGCTTAGGAGACGGCTTACCTTGCCGCTGCACCGAGCTGTCGTCTCGTCGGCGCGTGAGAAGAAAGTCGAGCCGCCGCTGCTCGTCGAGCTTGCGCAAGCTCTAGCCAAGGGCGCCGTGGCTAGGCCGCTCGATGGCGGCGCGCTCACCCACTGGGGAGCGCGCGCCGGCGAGGGGGCCGGCGACAGTGCCATCACCTCTCGGTTTTCGCTCGGCCGCTGCTGCTCGCTGTGCTGAGAGAGGAAGGGGAGGGAGACGAATGAGCCTAGGGTTTGGGGAGATGTCGCGTGTCGCAGAACCGTTCAATTTATAAGAGCACAAGTACAATTGCAGCTCGTAAGCGGTTGCACTGTCATACTTGAGCCCATATAAACCCGGTAGTCCGTCGAGTACCATGACAGGTCTCGATAAATGATCCACATACAACCAAGATCGTACATGATTCAACATATATATCACATATTATATAAAGTTCACAATTACAATCCATTCACCAGAGTACGAGATAAGGTTATTGCAAACCAAGTTCGATAGAGAGTAGCGGAAGTAAATTAAAGTTCGAAACTAGCATTTGCCAACAAAGTTTAACTACAGTGCCATCTCATGATCACAATCCACAAAAGCATATAAGAGGGATTATTAAAGATTTCTACCCAAGGCTCACTCCTCATTCACGGCGGGATAGAAGCAGTTCTTGGCATAGCCCTGATAAACTGTACCATCTGCAACAATGAGAATAAAACCCTGAGTACGAGAAGGTACTCAACTAGACTTACCCGTCATAAACCAGAAATAAATTGACTCTAAGGATTATGCAATGCTTTATAAGTTAAGGTAGCTTGACAACTTTTTGCATAAAAGCGATTAACTCAGTTATACAATTATACTTTGGTCATCAAGTTAATTATAGATATTCATCTCTAGATTAGCAACTATCTTATGCCAAACATGTGGTGTATCATTTAATAGCATACAATAGTAATC